TATTTTCTCTCTCATCTGGTACGAGGCACCGCCTCAATTCTCTCCTTCCTCATTCTTCTGTACTTTCTTCAACAAAAAACACAGAGGGAAAAATACAGATATTCATTGAAAATTCATACAAAAATTACAGCCAAATTCAATATATACAAACAATTCTGAACCCTCTACGTTGATCAAATTTCGAGCATCAACAATGAAGTTGAATGGTTTTATTTATTTATTATTTGTAAAACATTAAGTTGGATGGTTTATATTAAAAATGAAAAAAAAAAGTACCATTAATGCGATTTTCGATTGCTCTGTAATCGTATGTTCCTACGCTTCGAGATAGGCTCGTTCTCCTGAGAGTCTCGATGGGTCGACTCAGGAGAACGAGTCTGTCTCGAAGCGTGGGAACATACAATCATGTACAGAGCAATCGAAATCGCATTAATAGTACCTTTTTTGTCATTTTTATTATATAAACCATTCAAATTAATGTTTTTTTTTATTTGCTAAACTTAAGTTTAATGATTTTTTTTTTTTATCTTATATGTTTTTTTTTTTGCTAAACTTTAGTTGAACTGATTCATTTTTTTTTTATTTGCTAAACTTAAGTTGAATGAGAAGCGTCATACCACAGCTGAATAATATCATTCTTTTGTTGAACCAAAAAATATCGTTCTTTTATTCAAAAAGGTCTAGTTTGAACAGTAAATCACGATTGCAACCTAGCCTGGTACTGATTCTCCCAACCTACAACCGATGGATCTCAGTGAGTGAACCACATGGGATGAATAGGCGGTAATGGACAATCAGGAGTCAAATCTAAACGAATGTAGTGTTCGCAGCTACCAAGATGACACATGCAATCTCACGACATGGTCCTCTAGCCGATGATCGTGCACAGAGAGGCAACATTGTGGTGCTGAACATGTCGTGCTGCCCACCTTGCGGACCAGAGCCCAACATAACGACACCCGCATTAAATAGGGTTACAACAGGGTAGAGGTCCTGCGGAACTTCGAACCAGTGAGTCGGTCCACAATAGGGCCCCCGTCATACCTTACTCGATGGAGTCCGGTGTCGATATCTCTAAAATAGATGTACTCGTACAAGGTACGGTGGCTGTCGACCTCCTTCGCAATGTTGTCTCTTGCGACTGCCCAGCGCTTCTGGTTACCATACACGTAACTCGCAATGACCCGAAATCCGCAGTTACCATCCGACTCCACATTCAGGTAAGTCACTATGTAGTCCAACATATGCCAGAGGATATTTTGCCACATTGTAAAATTAAATATATTTGTCGGTCTAATCTCTGCAATATCATAATCATTTCACATCACAATTTATATAATCATATAAATACTTTAATTAACGTTCAACCATATTTTAAAAAAAACAAATGTATCACCTGCTTCCCCTTGTGACTATTGAGAAGACGAGCTTGTCTGTCCACGCGAAGAAGTGGTCGTACGGCTCGATTTCGACCTCCCGATCTATCGTTGTACTCCCAAGCACATGGTTTACACTTAGTTGAAATAGTTTTTCTTGGGATGACCTCGCGGGTTTTCCTTAACCTCAGGTTCCGCATAATCTTGTTGGTCTGGGTAAAGATGACTATACATGAACTAATTCATGTACCGCATCATCGCGGGATCGCCGGTTTCAACTTCATTCAAAAGCGTCCAAAAGAACTCCGCATCTGACCATGCACCCTGGCTCGCCTGGCTCTGATGACCAGTCCCTACAAGTATACGATAAAAAAATTCAATGAACTAAACGAAATAATGTACTTTAATTACATAAATTGTAATAAAAAATGAAACAGTAAGTAGAAAATTATAAATAAAACATTAACCTTAAATTACCTGGCTCTAACATCTGTAGCGTTCTCCAGAACTGGTGAATCATTCCGAGATCAATCGGAATTTTAGAATCAAAGGCGGTAGGGAGCAGACAGGCACAAGGAAATCCATGGGTGATCTGCAATACACAGCCGCATCTATCGTAAACATCGATGTCCAAGTCATGCATCTTCGTAAGCTCAGAGTCCAATAAACTTAGGCAGTAATGCGAGACCCTCAGTATCACGCTCGTGAAAAGGATTCCCTTATACCGTGTACTCTTCTTAGATCTCGATGCCTCAAGCGCCGACCTGATAATACATTACATAACATTAGATTATAATTAATGTAGCAATAAAATAACGCATTTAAAAATTACAGTATGTACCTGATTTCAGTCACTTGATAATCGATCTGCTTATTAATCTTCTGACAAATTGTATCGAGCGCGCCGGTGGACGTGTGAAGCTACTGCTTCAACACAGAGTGGGTACTCTCCACCCTACATGAAGTTGTGTTTCCAAAATGTGTCACCTGGTTGGTCCAATCTTTCACAAACTTCTCCTTGTGCCCTAACCATGTGTTCTCCACATATTGTACCACCTGTGGAGACTTCGATTATTTTGCGGGCAGCTCGGCAACGACATCGGTGTAGTCATCGAACTCCGCAATCGCCTTCCACGTACTGTGCGTGAAAATCTGCGAGAATTTTTTACTCTTCCCAAAGAGTTTGTAGGCTTTGTCTTCCACATCCTTGTTGATGTGCCACGTGCAGAGAAAGTGGGCTGATTCGGGAAAATGCCTCTGAATAGAAGTGATTAAACCCAACTCTCTGTCATTGACAACCACATTAGGATATACGCCTTGGCCTATCAGAACTCTCAACTTATGTAGAACCCAGTCGTAACTGGCCTCTTTCTCGTCCCTGATGAGCGCATACACAATTAGGAAGTTCTGGTTGCACGGCGTCATCCCAATCATCTCGACCAACGGCATCCTGTACCTGTGCAAATTAGACCAAGAAGACAAAAAATATAATCACATAAAACTTAACTTAATCAAACACACTATTTAAGATTCATACTAATAAAGTATTTATAAAGTAACATACCTGTTGGTTTTGTACGTGGAATCTATGCAGACATACCAGTGATATGTCCGGAATAGATTGACCGATGCAGAATGGGCCATGAATATCTGCGTCAACGCTTTCGTGTTCGGATTGGATTCTGCAAGAAGGAACGTCTCTCCCCTCGAAACTCTCTTTTCGCAGTTTATCTCTAGAGTTATATACCTGTCACCGATTAGCGTTAATTATAATGATTATTATAATTTTAAACAAAAAATTATTATATTAATAAATAAAAAATTATATTAATTAATTTATTTCATAAAAAAATTATTAACTATCATAATAATAATACAATAGTAAATATAATAAAATTTATTAATTATTACAATAACTTTTAGATATAAAAAAATTACTCATTATCCTAATTAATTTCAAAAAAAGTTAATTAAAACATATATTACAAGATATAAATATATATACCTATCGCACATGAACGTTGTGTCCTGGATTTTTTTCCTTCAGCGCGGACATAATTTTTGCCGGGGCCACCTGAGCGTCCGTCATATCACGAACAATATTCTTGGATGAAGCGCTGAGGCCGCTCAACTATCGATGACCCTCAGGATACACAACAAAGGAATGATTATGGTAGCCCTTTTTTTTCCTTGCTACATCTACAGATCCTCCAGTATGGCTCGTCTGGCACCTTTTTTACTTTTATCTCAAAATCGCAATTGCACTTATTCGTTTTTGTCTTTCTGGAATTTCCGCCTTTGCCTCTGTAGCGTTCGCCTCTATGGCACTTCAAAAGCTTGACCGTTTTTTTTTTCCAAAACTAATAGGAAACCATTCAGTATTATCTGGTGTTTTGCAGCTTCAATAGTCTCCTTATCACTATTAAATAATGTATGAGTATCGAAACTGAGACTGTAATCAATATCATCTCCTCCAAAATCTTCCCATGACTCCAGCTATATAGTACAATATTTATATTTTTAGAACATGTTAAATTATAATCTATTCATTCTAATGTATAAGTTAATTAATTCTATCATGTAACATCAACTCATAACATGATATTATCTAACGTCCAATTTATAGCATAATGAAGTCTAATATGTAACACAATAATTTGTAACTCCTAACACGATAATATCTAACGTCCAATTTATAGCATAATAAAGTCTAATATGTAACACAATAATTTGTAACTCCTAACACGATAATATCTAACGTCCAATTTATAACATAATAATTTGTAACTCCTAACACGATAGTATCTAACGTCCAATTTATAACATAACCAAGACTAACATGTAACATAATAATTTGTAACTCGTAACACGATAATATCTAACGTCCAATTTATAGCATAATCAAGTCCAACATGTAACATAATAATTTGTAACTCGTAACACGATAATATCTAACGTTCAATTTATAGCATAATTAACTCTAACATGTAACATAATAATTTCTAACTCATAACACGATAATATCTAACGTCCAATTAATAGCATAATCAAGTTTAACATGTAACATAATAATTTTTAACACCTAACACGATAATATCTAACGTCCAATTTATAACATAATTATTTCGAATATATAACATAATAATTTATAAAAATATTTTTTTTTAAAAAAAATGTCATCCGGCCGATCGAACCGGACGGTCCGGTCTCGACCGGCCGTCGCCGCCGGACGTCTTTTAAGGCGTCCTGCCGGCCGGTTCGGACAGAGCCCGTCCGACCGGACCAAGATTTCGGACGGCTTTTATGCCGTCCGAACCGGCCGGCCGGATGCCTTTTGCACCATCCGGTTTCGGCGGTCGGACGGGTTAAAAGCCATCCGGTTTCGCCGGCCGGACATGAAATTTTTCGTACCTCAGAATTTGAAGACATGTCGCCGTACATTTTGCTCTGAAATATTTGAAAAAAATGAAAAGAGCAAAATCGTTCAAGGGGACGGTCACTAGTAATAGGAGGCGATAAATAGTAACGTCCTTTCGAAAAGAAGAAAAACAAAACAAAAAAAAAACACATTGCTGATGCTCTTTTACGTTACATACTTTCGAGTAGTCAGTCAAACAACATCACGTTTAACTGACAAAAGACACTGCGATTCTTCTGACCGATTAAAACTCAAAATAACAAATTAAAAACCTAACCAAAAAAATGAGAAGGGCTGAAGAATGAAGAGCAACCCACGCAGACGAGTAAAATTGTCCAGATCCAGTCTACGATTTCTCACTTTGAAATTAGCAGCCGATTCAAACTTCTATCAACTCTATCGATAAGACCGGTGATTCTGTTTTAGTTGGGTGGAGTTGGTCGAGTTTCTTTGTGTCGGTGGTTGAAAGTTCTCAGGTTTTGGGAGGAAAAAGAAAAAAAAAAAAGCAGATGCCGGACGAGGATTTTGTGGAGGTCAAGTTCAGATTGCACGATGGATCAGATATGGGTCCTTTTCGATATTCACCCACCTCCACCGTTGCTATCCTCAAGGAGAGAGTTGTATCCGAGTGGCCTAAAGGTCGTTTGTTTACGCAATTATGCTATTTTTTTTTCTTTTTCTTTTTTTTTTTCCAAATATTGTCTATCATATCCGAGCCCATTGGATTTTTAACATCTTTTTAACCTGAACCCAGTTGAAGGCTTGAATATATTGATTATTTGGTAACAGAAAGGATTGTGCTTTGATTATGCCCCTGAATTGATGGTTACATGGCGGAGTTAACTGTAGCTAGTGAACAATAGAATAGAACATTATGGAAAAGCTACAAAAGGCAGAGATTCTACATATATGTAATTAAATTTTCAAAATTAGCTATGTGTTCATTTCTTTTTCAGCATCCAAATCCTTTGGGCTTTGCTCCACATGCAAAACAAGGGGGAAAATTTCAAAATTAGTCCCACAGGTATAGGGGGGTGACAATTTTGGTCCCGACGGAATGCAGAAAATATGAATAGTCCCACAACTTTAAAAAATGATCAAAAGTAGGACTTTTTCGCCGGATTTACTATTTTCGGCCCGGAACGCCACGTGGCATCCGACGTGTTCATATTTTTTTACAAGTTGTGGGACTAGTTTTGAATTTTCTGCATTCCATCGGGACAAAAAATGTCACTCCTCTATACTTGTGGGACTAGTTTTGAATTTTTCCCTATCTAGGAAAAAATTTAAAACTAAGCCACGTGTGCGCCACGTGGTGTTCCGGGCCGGAAATAGTAAATCCGGCGAAAAAAAGTCCTACTTTTGATCATTTTTTAAAAGCTGTGGGACTATTCATATTTTGTGCATTCCGTCGGGACCAAAATTGTCACCCCCTATATCTGTGGGACTAATTTTGAATTTTTCCCAAAACAAGGCGCAGATACTTAGGCTTCAATTCACATTGCAGATCTTGAACATTAGACTGCTTTGTCTCAGCTGTATTTTGTATCCCTATGCCTTTGTGTGTTTGAACCTCTTGACGGGATGACNATCTTTTTTAGATCAAAGAATTGCACCAAGGTCCGCCGGCGATGTGAAATTGATAAGTGCTGGGAAGGTATTGGAAAACAATAGGACCCTTGCTCAGTGCAAGATGCCATTTGACGAGCTACCAAATGGAGTTGTCACCATGCATGCCGTTGTACAGCCTATATATGTAAAAGCAAAAACAGGTAGCATATATTTACATTTTTCAGTAACACCCAAGAATCGTTCCATAAGTTCGACTCTTTTCTTTCCCTGTCAAATGTTGAGAAGGTGTACAAAAATGCTTGATCACAAGGCACTCCAGCTCTAAACTGTATTTGTGCAGCTTTACAATTAGGTATTAGCGGGTAAATGGGTTGGTTTCCTGGAGCAGGAGGGTTAGAATATATTAGGGAAAACTGCTCAAAGTCTACTTAGAAACCTTTTTAAGCTTCAAGCACTTGAATGTTCTCACAAATTTAATGTAGGGGCCTTGCAATTACTTATCAGGTACCTGATAAATATCTGAGCTTGATACATTAGTCTCAAGTGATGATTCTTTCGCGTAAACTCCGTGGCCCTGGCTTATTTGTTAGATCCCCATCAAATTGAGCAATAGGACACTAATAGCTAAAGCTAGTACCTTTTTCAATCTATCTCTTGAACCTTTGGGAACCCTTGAATTGATGTGGATGGATAGTAAGGCTGGAGATTGAGTGTAATTTTTGAATCCTTGCTTTTGGTTGTACGCATATACCTGTTTTTAATATCAGTATGTTGAATGTGTTGCTCTCATGCTTTGGATGCTTTTTCGCTTGGTTAGTAACCATGTTAAGATAGTGGCCATTTTCCAGTCTTGGATGATGCTACAATCCCTTCGTAATAGATACTGCCTGCAGGATCATTGCAGACATGAAAATAAAGATCGGCGGACTTCTCAGATCATAACTTCATTTACCTCTTTACTGATGGTCTTACCTATTTACCCCATTGAACTATTGCTCGTCCAACATGGACTGGTACTAGCACATAATTCCATTTTCATCCTCTTTCTACCATTCCATTCCCTTCCCAACTTTTATTTGTTCCTAGATTCTTTCAGTACCTAATATAAATTATTCCCATATATACCAAGTGCCATTTTAATGTTTATGTTTGTTTTGAAGACCATATAATATGAACCAAGTCTATCCAGAAATTATCTGGATTTCATTGTAAGTCCTTTGCATATGCCTCGTGTTAGTTATCGCAGGGCTGTCTTGCAACATGGTTGTGACTTCTAAGAAAATTGTGTACTGTAGTTATGATTATTTTAGCTTAGTAAAAATAAATGGGTGAAAAAGTACTGATTGTGTTCTGGTGCATGTAGCCTTTGCTATATGTGGTGCCTTGTGACAAACATTTCTTTACTGTATTTTAAATTTCCCTTTCTTTTGCTCACTGGAATTCAGTCTTTGCGTTTCATCCATTTTTCGCATATCTGTCGCAGAGAAGAAGGTCGACGAGGTTCCCCAGAAAAACCTGTGTTCATGTTCAATATTGTGAGACTACGAGTACGTATTAACGCATTTATCTTAGTGCACTCTTGGGGTTACTTGGTGTAAGATTTGAGAAGTTGAAACGTCAATAAACTTGTGAAACAGATTGATTCATTTTTATGTGTATCATGAGGGTATTCGTGTAACTGTTGTTTGGGAAATGTATATGTTTTCTATAAATATGGCATGTGATGTACATTTGTAGCTGCAGAATGCTTGTATACCTTATAAGAGAAGTCTGGGGTCTCTGTGTGTAACATAAAAAAACCCAAGAGTGCTGAAGTTGCTGGGATTCTACTGATTTCTTTTACTATATCTTTTTTTCCCCTTGAAGTCTAATGTTATTGGTACTATATAGTATATAGTAAACATAATATTATATTCAATTGCTCCTACTTGGGGCGCTGACAAAATTATAAATTTATAAAAGGAATGTTGGAAAATGGGGATTGTCTCCCATGCAGGCTCGATTCTGAACACCTGCCTAAGGTGGCCATCCACCCAGTGTGGGATGATCCCATTTTCATTAAATCTGATACTTTCAGAAGGTGTAGTAGGTAGCCATAGATGAGCTTCACGACCATGAAGGTGCCTAACTCCCTAGATTTAGGTAGATTCTAGGCACTGTTTTTGAAACCTAGCTCGGGCTACAATCTTGGTTGACCTTGAGTTGGGTCTAATCTGGAAACCTAGCTCGGGCTACAATCTTGGTTGACCTTGAGTTGGGTCTAATCTGGATGGGTCAGGGCAATAAGCAGGCGGGTCAATCTTAGAGTGACTTGGTCAAAACCTGGCTGACCTGGTATTAACTTGGTTGACTTGAGCATTAACCTATTTGGGTTAACCCGAGCATTGACTTTTTGGGTCAACTCGATTTTGATACGGTCACTTTATTTTATTTTCTTAAATGCTTTAATTATAAAAATTAAATTATATGTATATATTTTTGTGGTAAATATTTATGACAAGATAAAAAAGATACATAATTAACACTTTATGGTATGACAACTATATTTATTTATTTTTGTTATTGAAAATCTCCTGATTTTTCGAAAAAAGATCAATGACTTGTTTTATTTCCCTTGATAAAATTCTTATGGCATGATTGGTAGGAAGGAACGACATGGAAATTGAATGATCATTCTCTTATTCATTCCTTATCGCATGATTGGTATATTTTTTGGGAAGGAATGACTATTCCCATTGGAATGGCAAAACCCATCCCCATGGGATTAGTCATTCTATAGTAAATGGAAGGTTTTCTCATTCCCATGTGTGTAAAAATTAATTTTTCAAAAAATAAAATCAACAAATAATAATAACAATAAATATATAATATATATTATAAATCATGATTAAAATATATTAAATAAAATTATTTTTAAAAAAAAATCAAATAAAAATTGAAAACTTACTTCTATTTATTTTTTAATTAGATATATTAAATACTTATATAAAAATAAAACTAAAAAAAAGCATTTATATATAATTTAAAAATATGTTTTGTTACAAAACACCGTACAAAGACTCGCGACGAAACCTAACCCCCAAATCTCTCGTAGTAGCTTCCCTAATTTTCGGCGATTCTGCCTTCCTCGGCGACGGAAAAGCTCGTCTAGGGCTTGTCCTCAACCGTTCGCCCCCTCCCTGGCGAAGTGCGCCTCTATTGCTACCTCAGATGGTTCATCGACGGTGGCCTCAGATTCGCTATTGCTGATGGATTTCCGGACAGCGGTGGCGCACCTCAAGGTCGAAGTAAGGCCGGCGATTGGAGTCTTTTCAGTCACCGGAGGAGCCGCGATTGTTGATGGTAAGCCCTGCTTTCTCTCCTTTATCAACGATTGTCGGATTTGGTTGTTTCCGGCGGTGCTTCACCCTTTCTGGTGGGGCCCGGGCCGTTTGTCGTTGGATGTCAGTGGCGGTGACAGGTGGAGTGCGAGTCATCGGGAGGGGCGGACCCCGGTTACTGCGGCGCTCTTTGTTGTGGCGGTCGGGGTGAGGGCCGTTTTTCTCTCGCTCAATCCCTCGTTTGACTAGTGGTGTTAGGTGACGGGGGAGGTTCAATCGGCCTCGTCTAGTGGTGTTAGATGAGTTCGGATGGAATCGGGGTGGGGTGGACTACGGCTCTCTTGGTTTTCGACGGGTTGATGGGGACTGGTTCGGGGTTAGGGTTCTACTACTGTATAGGCTTAATTGCAGTTTCGGTAGCTGGTTCTTGGCCTGGTTCCATCTTGTGTCGATCGTGCACTGCTGGTTCGGACTTGTTCGTTCGCTGGGGAAGGGCTATTAGATTTTTAGATTATTTGTGTTCTTGTGTTTTGTTTTAGTGTTTGTGTTGTGCGTGTCTTGTATTTTTGGTTTGGGCAGTTGGCCCCTGTGTGCCCTGAGTGTCACTTTTATTACCCTGTGGGGGTCCGACACTCGGGTATTACCCTGTGGGGGTCTTTGTATTGTGCTGTTGTTTTTTGTGTCTTTTAGCGTTGTTGAGTATTACCCCGTTGGGGTCGGTTCTAGGCAGTCGTTTGACCTGTCCTCCCAGTTTTCTCAGGTGTTAGCCGCTTATATTCGGCTATTGGTTGTTTATATTCGGCTGTGGCTGTAATTTTGCACATTTGTGCCCTTTTATATTATATCTATCGTTTCGTAAAAAAAAAATAAAAAATATATATATATATAATTTAAAAATATATTATTTTATTTTTATATATTATTAAAAATATATTTTTTTTATATATTAAAAATATATTACT